TCTATCAGATCTCTAGCTGGAGCCTGAGCTACGTAAAGCTAGTACAACATACAACTGCTATTTGACTGCATGCGCAAATGCAAGCTCCCAATTTGATGAATTTTGATTTTCTTCAGCCTCTTACGATGTTCAGATGTACCACTTAATTTGGGCGTTGTGGATTGTAATCATAGCCAGAATGACAGTGCAGCGTACGCCATTTCTGGTACATCCAGTCTAGATATCCCGATTGTTTCAGCATCCTGCGCTCCTTTGAACGTTGAAGGAGCGGAGCTGGATCACCTTATGTAACCAGTTTCCTACGTCCAATAACGATATTAGAGTTTGTGCTGATTTGCATACTGACCGTGTTTTGGTTGCCAAATATATGATTGTTCACTGTCTAAACAACAATAAACACCCCCCAACGATCTCACCTGATGTATAGATCGTCTACGGATAAAATTCTATATTGACTTTACTATGATTTCTAGTCAATATTACACCTATATTTACCACTTTTCAGTAGGATGTGATTTTCCTGATAATTTACTGAAGGAAAACTGCTAATAAAATAATTCCGCAATAAATGTTACTCAATACAGGAGTGACCAAACTGCTCTTTCTATCGCTTAGAGTGCGTGCTAGTTATCTAGCAGGTTCAGGATCGCTCACTTTTCTCCTGTGGTGTGATAACCAAGTATTGCTGAGAGATTATTCAATTAAGAAGTCCCTCCACCAAATTCTCACTAATTCTCACTATGACACTTTTGTTCAGCTGTGTCTAACTGACCCTAACTCACGCTTAGAGTGACGTGTTAGTTTTATATTAGCTAACAACTAATATTTGCTTTTATCTTTTGGAGCAAACGAACCAACCACTGGTGAGGAGAATTAAACTTTTATTTCTACCTGAGGTTTGAGAGGGGGCAGAAGCGGTGGCCTTTTATGCTTTTCAGAGGCCTCTCTACTCCCACGCCTCGCACTAGTTACATGTGCTACATTTGTATTATAGATAGTTCTAGAATGATATAGGGGCTTGGGCTGTGTAAGCTTAATAATGGACTTAGGACATGACTCAGCAATAAGTAATTCATTTCTTTGTCTTTTGGGCCGATCTCAGCGGGATCTTGTAGCGCTGAAGCTATGCTCTACACCGCCTTAATTACGAACGGTTATCTTTAGAAATGACTCGGCTATAAAGGAACTTTCTAGACTGTTCTCTAATTGACCCCTTTTTGTGAAGCCACATCATTACTAATGTTCTAGAGCCTTTCCAATTAATTAACTGATCCGCGGACTTCTGAATCACTTCATGCTTATGATCCGAGATCCAGATCATCAATCATTCCTTTGTTCCGATTTATTTGGGCTTAAAATCAAAAAGTTTTGATGAATCATGGGAAAATATACAAGATCCGGTTTTTTAGCATTTTCTCCTCTTCTGATGCGATCAAAAACTGTCCGCCCGCGCCGGGGAATACTCTATCATATGGTATTCGGTCCGCCAGACTCCCGGGCGCCAATATATTTCCCTTGAGTCACATTACCTTTTGTAAGAATTAGCAAATAAATATATATGAATTATAAGGTGTTTCGCCGTTTGAGCGATATCTCCGTCAGTTTTGAAGCTTTTAGAATGAAACAAAACCGTGGATAAAGTTAAGAAACAGTCCTTCCAGATGGTAAAAAGATTACAGTCAAAAGTTTACTGGTTCCCGAGATATTTACATTTCTTTCCCAATGTTCCTTCTTATTCTGCCGTCTATGTGCTATTTTCTTGTTGTAGGGATATATTCTTTGAATATTACACCTATGTCAAGTTCTAGGCATGATTGTAGTAGATTAAATCTCATACTACATGGGTGTAGATATTTTATAATGATCTTCTAATGTCTGTCCAGTCTCATAAAGATCATGAGATCTGTTAAACGTCTGAACTTGTCACCTGTTCGTTGACTATTCTGATAGATCATTGTTTTATTCTTTGAATATTATTTCTCCTACAACGTCTGTCCCGTCTTGATTTGCTTGCAATCAGCCGCTTCCATCGACTTCCGTGTCATTTAGATCGACCATCGCACCTTAATCAAATTGCAATCCCTGGCCACTGATCTTTTGCCCTGGCCATATGGTTTCCAACACTCCATGCGACTTTAGTTTGAAAGATCACACATTGCATGGTTATATATATGGGCGTCAAAGTCGCTCCTGTCTCACCTCAACTTGCCGTTTGTCTTAGCAGATCTGTGATTCAATTCAACATGCTGAGATCCAGACTCGTACCCAGTCGGAGGAGCTCCGTGGACGCGCAAAATAATAGCTCTTTATGTAATATTCTCACGTTCTGTACTCAATACAAAAGGTCACATGCTACGGAGTTAAACACATAGCCGATCACCTACTCCGGAAATTTGGACGCGACACTTCGCTCCTCCGACTGGGGCAAAATGTAGTATGGCTGTGCTCCGGCACTGTCCGGCCTCTGTCTTCCCACGGCAAACAAGCTCGCTTCAAGGCTCTAATCATCACACCCCTCCCCAAGCCATCACAGAAAAAATCCAAAACAAATGTAGTAGTTACCCCCACCCAAAATTAACCCAGCCCAACCCAGCCCAACCCGATTCATCTGTTGCTTGCTCATATGTGCTAAAATTATGTTGGAATCTTGTATCGCGCACTCAGCACTTTGTCATTATTGAGCCCAGTCAAGGGAAAAACATGGTAGAACTACCTAATCATAGTCCAATACTGCTCTGGTGTTGATCACTACAGTATCCTCACCCCAAGAAATTGGCCGATGAGGTGAAAAAGAATATTATTTTGAGCGCGCAATACAAGATTCCAACATAATTTTAGCACATATGAGCAAGAAACAGATGAATCGGGTTGGGCTGGGTTGGGCTGGGTTAATTTTGGGTGGGGGTAACTACTACATTTGTTTTGGATTTTTTCTGTGATGGCTTGGGGAGGGGTGTGATGATTAGAGCCTTGAAGCGAGCTTGTTTGCCGTGGGAAGACAGAGGCCGGACAGTGCCGGAGCACAGCCATACTACATTTTGCCCCAGTCGGAGGAGCGAAGTGTCGCGTCCAAATTTCCGGAGTAGGTGATCGGCTATGTGTTTAACTCCGTAGCATGTGACCTTTTGTATTGAGTACAGAACGTGAGAACATCTACTATATATAAAGAGCGCGGACACGCTCCACGAATCGCGAACGCCGATTGGTTGGAGCGAGGTCTCACACACTCTCATTGGATGAAGGCGCTTACTTCAGCTCCCATTTGGGATGCACTCGCTTAGCTCATCGCCCCTTTAGGGCTCTTCCTCACCCATTTTGGTTCTGCTTGCTTAGATCATCACCGATTTGGGGTCCGGTCACTTAAGTCATCGCCCGTTTGGGGCCAGCCAGCTAGCTTATCTCATCTCCGGTTGTGTTTGAGTTTCCTGACCGGCCCACATGCGTCATCTATCTCATCGATGCGCACTTCTTCACATGCCGCTTCAACCTCTTCACCTGATCTGTTGTCTAGAGTGCGACATCGCAATGATGCGACTATCGATCCTGATTGACGACGACAAGCCCAGCATGGCTAATGTTGTACACTCTGCACTGCTACCTTGAGTCTAACATGGCGAACACACTCCACATCTGTTTGTAAACCGCGCCCATTCTTCGTAACGTTTTACGCTCCCGGAGTACTGCACAATTCAAAGGTTTCGCGGAGTGTGAAACATGATGATAAAAGAAACCCCATGTACCCACCTTTTTACGACTGTCTGAGTCGTCGTTGAGGGGCGAGATTTTCATCTGATGTGAGGTCATGTCAAGCCCTGAAAGTGCGCTCTAAAGCCATGGAATGATATAGGTATATACCACGGATGCGAGACAAGTGAACACAACCGGAATGACACTGGGTGCCCGGCTAGCCAATGAGAGAGCAAGAACGTGCTTCAATGCCCTGCTGAGACTCTGTACATTGAACGATTCCAGGGGGTTGTGTCGCCGCAATCATTGGGTAAGTGTGTTGACCAAGGTATAACCTGGTCGTTACGTGACGTGTCAAATGAAAGAAAACACAGTCAAAGTGTCAATGAGCACGGGTGTCACTAATCCAATAGTAGTTGGATGGAAGGTAAAAAACTTGGCCGCATTCATCGTGAACAAATCGATGTCAAAACATACCACTTAGCCGAAAGAAAGCCGATCTGTTCTGAACACGCACAGGAGACTCTCCAACACCGATGAAAGTCAATTGAATTCCATCTCGGATCCGTCATAACTCGAGGTCAAGGCTAAAACCTTAAATCCAATCAGAGAACGAGAAAACGGTGGTCCAGCTGAAAAAAAGAACACAGCCGTAGGTTCGCCTGATCTTGTTACATAAAGAGCTATTATTTTGCGCGTCCACGGAGCTCCTCCGACTGGGTACGAGTCTGGCTGAGATCCATGTTCACCCCCGCCCCAAAGTTCGTTACAACGAACGGAGGAAATCTTGTGCTACGCGATGGCTGGAAAAGCTTTCACAAAGGTTCACTTTCGCTCCTTACTTGGCTCTGACCGCCTCGCTTCCTGGGTTTGCACTGTATGTGGTGCAGCCAAGTTCGAAGATGGCATACTCTCCAATCCTGTAGATTTGGATACTTACGATGCCTCACTACTTGAGGGCCAAGATAATATCCCACTCATCCTTTCCCTACCGTTTCTCTTCTGCGGATCATCAACGTTGCCATTGTTCCCAAGCGTTTGCTGAATTCTACGTTACTTCCCTGTGATCTACCAAGGTACACGGATTTTTGGGAGTGAAGAACGCGCTGCGCAACTGAAAGTAAAGAAACATCGGAAGCGAGGAGAGTAGCGGGTACTGCCGCTTCACATCGGCAGGTGCTGCTGCAGACTCGATTTTCTCACAGAGAAAACCAAACTGAAAAGATGACTGGGAGAAACAGACTCGGACAATTGCTATCACTAATCTTGGGATTGTACTGCAGGTACACAGCGTGGGGTTTCGAACATATTTGTCATGTCACCGGTCGGGTTGACGAGAGGGCCGCTGATGCTTAGACTTCGGAATCCAGACGCCGTGCGGTCATTCGAGTATCTTGACTTACGAATCCTGCGCGCATTGGGGAGCCCTAAGGGCCGCGGAGAATTCGGGAGAGAAGGGCCGAGGCAAGACATGTCGTTCTTCAAACTTGGCACACTGTAGAATGACCCATTACTATTCACACGGAACTCTTTGAAACGAAGGGAAGTCGAGGGTTGGGGTTGGGGTTGTTTGGGAGGGACCGAACGAACTGAAATGCCTCGGTATCGCGAAACAATGCGACTCGGTGGATTCTGATTCTCTGCAATCCTGTTGTCGGTGAAGGATGTAATTTCCTTTTCGAGGATTTGGGACAATGATCCCCACGGTTGAGAGGCATCACTTTGTCGCATGGCATCAGGGGTGGAGGGTGACAACGTTTCCTGCGGGCCTTGGGGGACTCTGGGCAAGATGAGTTCGAAGGCTAGGCCATCAACTTCTTCCTTATTGAGCGATCCTGGGGGAAGTAAAATAGTCTCAATAGCGGCCTGTGCAGTCAAAGATGATGGGGGTGCTGGGAATTGCCTCAATGCTGACAGGGAACTACTAGCGGAGTCACCAGAACTCATCACGCTGGCAGAACGTGTCCCTTCAGGCGTCAGCTCGTTGCTTATGAGAGGGACTACGTTCCCACGAGGGTCAGAAGTTGTATTCTTCATGTCCTGATGTATGTCTTGGGTCGCAAGAAGGGCACGGGGCGGTTTCGCGATATCTACCCCATTGGGTGCCTGGGTCGGGCCAGGAAGTCCGTATTTGGGTGGAGGACCAAATTCTGAGGAAGTCATATGAGTTTCGGTGGCCGCGATCTTGAATTATATCACGAACCTGTTTTATACGGTGCCGCTCGCACCAAGGCTGGGACAGGAAGGATCACAGGGATGCCCTCTTCTGGATCAGTCATTGGGGTTCTGGATAGATATCTGGGGCCAATACTAATGGCTTTGTCCACGTCTCTGCGTTCATAATAGTAAGAGATGATAGATTCCGACTTCTCACTAGGAGGTTGCCCAGTTAGCCCTGCTATCGACGAGTTCAGTCTCAATGCATCATCTAAGCGGACCCATCGCCTAGCAATGTCCGAGTAGAGCCGCCCAGATATCCGACGAGATACCCATGATGCCAAGCGCTCCCCAGGTCTTTCGGGATTTATGAACCTAGAACGTCGACCAATAGTGTCCGGATGCGGGGCGTCAGCGGCAGGGATTTGGACTGCACCGAGCCATTCTTCTGGACAGTCACCCTTTCCACCGGGATTCCCTGCAGGACCGTTCCTGCTCGCAACGTCGTCGAAGGCGATGATGAGGGAATAGAGCGTCAGAATGTATAGTTCGAGCGCTTGCAGAAACCTTCCGATTGGATATTCGGAGAAGCGAGCTGTAGAAGGGTCTTAAGAATGCTAATTTATTTGGAAAACAAATAGAATCATACACACCCACGACGAGGCCCCCAATGCCTATCCCTATCGAGATGGCCATTGCAGAAAGGAGGGGGATATGATCCAAAATATTCATTTTTCGGAGTTCTGGGGCGACGAATGTGAGATTTCCTAGTAACTTCAGTGCCAACACAATTGTGGTCACAATTTCTAATATTGCACTCGCAGTGAAAGGCGTGATGGCTGACGAAGCCCGGAACGTGAATTCAACCCTCCATATCACTTGAAGGACTCCGACAGTAACGACAGTAGTAAGCATGAAGTATTTGATGAAGAGCCCTATCATTCCCCATCGTGCCCAGGAGCCGCTATGCATGTCGTCTGATGAAAGGTTGAACGATCCTTCAGCCCAACCAGTGGTAGAAAAGGATCTCCATACTTCTCCGCGGGCGGGAAGAGCGACCAGAACCCAAAAGAACAGGAAGCGAAGTGCGACGGAGGCTGAGAACAACATCTCCCGAGCTGTCACAGAGGCTAGATTTGAGACGGTCAAATCGTCGTTCGATAGAACTACGAGACTGATAAGGTCGATGATAGAACCAAGAAAGCTAAGTAGCCCCGATAGCACTATCATTCCGAACATCCTATTTGTCATTTGTCAATCGAATGCTGGAAGGTTGATCACAAATGCTCACAAGTTTATGCGACTCTTGATTACAAGGAGTGTTAGGCTCCCAAACGCCATTGGTCCCAAGGCAAGGAAAGGAACATCAGCCGTAATTTCTTGGACCTGGATGAGAGCATCAGTTTGCTGGCAGCAACAGGGAAGACTGAATCCGCACTACTGCTACTCTGCTCCAGAAAAGCAGGGTCATAACGGGCCTGGGAGGAAAGCTTTTATTAGGGGAGACACGACCGAGCGCGTTTGCAGTTGAAGCAGCCAGTGCACGACCCCAAAGCCAATGGAAAGGAAAACAAAAACAAGGGCGAAAGAGCGTGCCAACCAGACTAAAACCTGAACGGAAAAGAGAAGGGGAGGAATGGCTGGGACTGTTCGCCGCTATCGATTTCAACCCACCGTTGCTTGGCGACTGCGGATCACTTGTGCCATGTTGAAGCGAACACAATAGGCGTAAAGGTTAGACAGCAATTCATGTGGTTGTTGGCTTCTTGGCTGAGTGGTAGGCCCGGGACACACTGCATGTTGGGGAGGGGATATAGTGGTAGGCGCGGCATCGATCTCATCGAGCTGTGAGCGGCCAAGACGGGAGGGCCACACGGGCAAAAAATGATCGTCCAGCGGAGGCACGGCGTGGATACAAGGGGTCCTCGCAACAATAATTTCAAATTCCAACCCACTCCTGAGATACCATCAAGTATGCAGTCGAAACAGCGCTGGTACGGCTGCATCAGCATATCAGGTGATCTACTCTCCGGAAGCAAATAATTGCTCAAACGCGTCTGACTCTACGACTCACGCGACAAAGGCCAACACTCTTGCTCTTAAGGGATTGGGGGCTTCGTGGGCGATGTCCGATGACGCGAAACTTGCTTCTCTGGCTAAGGCGAATGCAGTCTTGGCCGAACATATCTCAAGGGATTCATCCCAAATACCTGACCCGGGCGAAGCGATCCTCGGGGGTAAGGGACTTATGTTGGATGTTGTTTTACTTCGCTAATGACGTTCTTCAAGCCTCATCATCCTCCGCGTATGTCACCCCGCCATGGGCATTGTTCGACCTCAAACGCACATTGATGATACCGGAAGAGCTGTTCTCGAGCTACGAATGTAAAGTCCGCATATAACCGTTGCCTCAACTCCTGACCCGAAGTCTCTCTGTGAATTTACAGCAACAAAGTCCACTTGTCATATGGGTATTTTTTCTCAGATAGATCGCGCGTGGATTACCTTGAACAACAAGTTGTTTTTGTGGGATTACATCGCTCCGTACGTGCGACGCTGTCGTTATAAATCTCCATGTTTATGCGAACAGTCAGGAAGGACTCGCTGCAAAGTTTTCCAGAGCAGCCTGGGAATATTCATAACGTGGGTCTTATAAACCCTAAGCCTGGTCAGTCTTCTACTGCTGCTAGTTAAAACACGCTGATTTGACTACTTGTAGGTATCTTCATTGATACGATCAAGCATTTGCTGGTTCTTTGCACCACTTCCACTTTGATAGTGCTAGGGCTGGCCGCTCAGGAGGGCCCTGCTGATCGGTCTCTAAGTTCTCAACAATTTGTCATCTACGACACGGAGCTGCGTTTCCCTACTGACAATGTAGCAATGTCCTCCATTGTCTCGACATTGTCCGGACGCGCTTTCATGTGCGGCATATCTGATGGGAACCTGTATGAGCTCCGATATCAGGCACGTGAAGGCTGGTTTGGCAGCAAATCGTCTTTGTACAATCATTCTGCCTCCGGCGTTTCTAGTGTTCTTCCCTCTCTCTTTTCCTCAAGTCCTTCAGGTATGTCCGCACCTCTATCTAAAGCCGGTGCTAACTGTGCAGGATAGAAATGATTGCGCACCTCGCTTTGGATGATTCCCGTGACTTGCTCTATGCGCTGACCTCAAGCAGCACCATCAATCTATACAACGTCTCTGGTCAGACAACGACACCCTTGCAACGGATTGCTGTTGCATCAAACATTTTCAAGCATGCCCAATTACTATGCCCACCCCTTGGCACAACCAAACTGGATATCATCGATATACACGCATTCAGTACCTTGGACTCCTTCTCTATTCATTTAATGGCCGTGACTTCATCGGGAGTTAGACTTTTTTTTTCTGCCCTACGTCGCAATTTTTCCAATTACGGCACTTCCACAAGTGTGGTGTCTGGTGTCCCCTCGACGCTCGAGCTGGTGCACGTCCGAATGGCCCCAACTACTGTCGAGCATCCTCGAACTTCTCATTTTGATCAGAGTCCGTTATATCGTGGACCATCAAACCCTTCCCTCTCACATTCCAAATCTTCGCAACTATCGAATCTGAGCTGCACCAGTTATTTCGGGGGCCTTTTCTTGGGGGCTCAGTCTCCCTCTGACGGTTCTCAGCCCGATGTGTTGTTTTGCACTTCTCCTGACTTGCCAAGAATCGGGAACCTGGCGATTGATGGCACTTCACAGAATTCTCAAATGACAGGAACGATCACTGCGTATTCACAGAGCAGCCAGCCACCTAGACCTCCTTTCGGAGAATATGCTTCACTATTGGAACTGCCGGGGAAGACTTGGGCGATTGCCCATTTGAAGACGCCACAGATGCCCCCATTTGCGAAGGGCTCAATACCTTCATGGAATGATCTTATCACTCAATTTACTGCATATCCTGATCAGTTTCTTTTACTGACGAATGATGGTTTGTCTGTAATCGTCAAGAAGCGGCCAGTTGATAGTTTGCGAGAGTTGATTGAAAGCACTCGACGTGGTGGCGATGAGGAGCTCTTGAGGTCATTTTTAGACCAGTAAGTCCTTCCAACCTTTGTAGCGCTGTCCTTATTCTGATTCACGCAGATATGGTCGGAATCAAACATGCGCAATGCTGCTGGCTTTGGCGAGCGCCAACTCCTTCGTGGGGGCGGCTCTAAGCTTGCCGGTGCCTTTTTCGTCAGCGATTTCCCTGCATATCACTCCAAGCCAGTCTGCTGTCGCTAACCCTACTGGTTCCGAGAGTATTATCGACGAGGCCACCCAAAACGCCGCAAAGACGCTGTTCTATGACTGGGGTCAGCAGCCGACTGAGTTCCCAAACTGTAAGTTTTGTTCTTTTCGTTTGATGCGTAGAAGCTAATAACCTCTTTGATGAATAGCGCTAGCTGTAGCATTTAGTGGCAGGCATGAGGGTCTTGCGTTGTACTTTTCTCGTTTGGTGCGACCAATCTGGAAATCCAAGATAACAAGAGGGTAGGGCAGTTAGTTGGGAAGTTAGGAAAAGCTCTCACCCCCAATTCATCAGGACAACAAGTAACCAAACTACAAATATCCCAGTGGTGGTGTTATCCTCGGTTCAACGAAACTTGCAATCACTTGCGGACTTCCTTGACAGGTATTCTCTAGCCCCTTCCGTGAACTCGCCTTGATGTCAGTGTTAGGAACCCCCAGTTGTTCCTGCCCCCCGGTGATTATTCCTCATTTGGGACAGGCTCCGGGGTGGGGCGACAAGGCCCTTGGAAGGTTAATCTGTCCATCACTTTGTAATCTATACGCTGACCGGAGTCTAGGAAGAACAAACTTCAGCGTCCTCTCTTAGAGAGCTACTAGGCATCACCATCGAAGCAATCAACTTCATCCTACTCTTGATTGACTACAAGCTCCCGGATACGATCGCTTTGTGAGTATTTCACTGCGACTGTGGAATACCCTTCTCATGTCGTGCAGATGCGAACCTCCCCTCCAACAAAAACTCTACTCAATGACGTGGGAGGATCTGCTGACAACTAAGGAAGGAAGAGATGTTGGGAAAGGCTTGGTCACTGCATTGATTAATCAGCAAATTGGCCAACAAATAAGTGTAAGCGTTTGAGAAATTCATTAGGGTGTTTCATATTAAATGCCCTCTCCAAGATCGATACTATCAGTGATGTCTTGCAATCTCGTTGTCCCAACTTCTGCAGTACAGATGATGTGATGACGTATAAGGTTCATAACATTTGCCCCATTGTTAGCACCACTTATGTGTTTCTGGATAGGCAGTGGAGGCTCTTCGTCGGGCAAAAGAGGCCCCATCAGCTGGCGAAACAGCAGAGAGCCTGCGTGAATCATTGCGGTAAGCTTAAATTTTTCACTGGTTCATCCGGGTTCGCCCACCTGTTCCACAGGTTATTCCTTAAGAGCACTCGGAATCTCCATCCATCAAACTTGGCGGAGATTTGTGCCGACTATCAGCAAATGAGATTTCCAGAAGGTGGGGAGTTCTGGGGAGAACGTCAATGGTCGCAGTGTTTACGTCTCCTCTTCAGGAACTGTACAGCTCCCGCTTAAATGTGCGAACGACTGGGATATTGACAGATCTGGCATCCAGTACTGGGCGGGAGGCCACCACGAAGGTGATGGTGCAAAACAAGCTTACGAGATGCGAATTGGTTGTTATGATTTGGTCTTGAAAGGGCTAAAATCATTTGATGATCGCTTGGATCAGGCAACAAGTGACGATGAAGGTATGCCAGACTTCCCGGTGCACCTTTTCTGCGATATTGAAAGCATGATTATCCAGCCCAACATGCCGAAGTTTTTCAATCTGCGGCCTATCATGCCGCGTTGGAATCAGATGATCCTGTTTTTCACTCGCACTTGTACAATTGGTTCATCAGCCATGGACGGACAGAGGAATTACTCCAGGTCCGCAGTTCATCGTTGCACATCCGGGGTCACTCTAAGACGTTTTAGATTCGGACGCCGTTCATTGAGGGTCATCTTCTTCGGGAGCCCCACACAAGGGAGAAGAGCGAGCTACTTTGGCAATTATATGTTGGCCACGGTGAATTCCTTAGGGCTGCCGAGGCTCTGGCTAGCCTAGCAGAGGCAAAGTATGCGCGACTGCATTGGCATGAAGGCTCCTCCACTGATGGATTTGCAGTTTCCCAATGACATTAGATAAACGGGTCGAGTATCTATCACTTGCCATCGGGAATGCCAAATCCCATCAAGCATCCATTTATGACCGTCAGGAACAAGGGATGGTCGAATTTTTGAACGACTTGGAGGAAAAGTTAGAAGTCGCCAACTTACAGCTGGAGATGCTGGGTGTCATGCGAACCCTGCAAGGCTTGGATGATGCTGGGAGGAGAGACGTGAATACGCTGGCATCGAGGTTGATGGACGTATCTGAGGTGAGTCCAGCAACTCGATCCTGGTGTTTCTGAATTTAAAGCGCTGATCATACGTGGCAAGCTCTATGGGGAATACGCGGAACGTTACAACCTTAATGATATGAAATTACTGATTATCAAGGTATCGGACCACCGAGATCCCCAACTTGTGGCATCTATATGGCGAGGAATCCTCCATGAAGGTACGTACTCTCCGTATTCTTTTCCCGCCTGCCTTACGGTTACACAAAGCGGAAGAGGAGCAAACTGATATTCCCGTTATCCTCGCTGAGCGTGTGCGGCGCCTCGGCCTCAAATTGTACCCATCAGAAAGTGCATTCCCATGTGGTAAGATACCCGCAGCCACTGCAGTTTTATATTAAATCGCTTTATAGATCTTCTTTGTGAGCTGTTGGAAGACTTTTCCTGGGAACACAGAAATGAGGTAGCTGTTGGTTGGGTGCCGCAGGTATTGGTTGAGAGTGGTGTACCGTACGATGCCATTTTCCGGCCGTTATATACGATGAGAGAGTCTGGGGTGAGTGCTGATAACCCCCACATATTCTCGTTGCTGAAGTCGGACGGACAGCAACCTCCGTATCATGCGGCGGATCGAGAACTTTATCTCATACAAGATATCACATACTTGGTCAAAAATTGGTTGACAGAAACGATCCGTCCGGCCTCGAGGGTGCCACGAGGATCTTTCCCTGCCAATGTAGTCGACCAAATGATCTCCGCGTACTTGGAAGTTCTGTCTGCGGATGCTGCGTCACAAGACCTTCGGCGGATATTAGCAGATATCCAAAGGAAGATACGATCTCGATTTTGATATCCATATGTAAATTTCCATCCATCTCTTTTCTACATTATTCCGCACGGCATGCCATTGTGGCCCTTGGCTGTAGCTGGGTTTGGACAGTCTAATAGCTGCTTTCGTTCCGAACCGACGCGTTACTGAGGGTGCGCGGTCTTTGCGTGAAAATGGGAGAGAACCGTGAAAAAAAAGTGTCCTCGAAACCTGGGTCGAACAGGTGACATTCAGATGAAATGAGTATTACCAATTACAGTCTGACGCTCTACCAACTGAGCTATTCGAGGTCCTGGGGACTTCGGCGGATAGGATAGTGTCGTGTAGTTCACTAAAGTCTGGATTCTTATATCCCTGTATCCGATATTTAATACAATGGGGCGGTTGATGACGCAAAGTTAGGATGGTATGTGTCCTCAGCTTGTGTGTAACGAGACGACTTGAAACATTCGGCTAACTCCGGCGTAATGCAGCCACTTGAAAAGTCGCTTCGTTGGACCGTTCCAACTAGCATTGATTGAGACAAGAGACAAACAAACAATGAAACAACTTTTTTTGTAACCAACAGCAGAATCACGAATCGGTTGAACAGTGGTAGTGCAAAACAGGATCCAATGCGGAAATAAGTAGTGGTGCGTGACCATCACAACGGCGCGTGTGGAGTTGCCAGTGCCAGTGCTGTTACATCACCGTTTTCACGACTGCCGCCTCTCGACTCTGGCCAGCCCCTCACGAAATGGCGCGGACATGGTCAGGTCGTAGTTTGTCCGATATTCTTCTTCCTCCAATCCCAAAACGCGAAAAACTCGGTCGGTATGTTGCGAGCATCCATGAGAGTCTGAACTCCTTCTGATGATCGGAACTACTTGATACCCAATATTACAGGTACAGTTGGCTGTTCGACATAGTTCGGTGAGGCATTCTTGGCCATTTGGCTTGTCATTGTTAGTTGATGGATCTGGATTAGCTACAAGGGCAGCGTAAGTTACTGTAGAGGTAAGCCCGCTAAAAAATTCGACCTTGGTGGGGTGTTTATGCTTCATTAGCTTAGGATCGGTCGCCTGGGCATTGGACACTTCTTGGAACAGATAACTGGCCGAATATTCGGTCCTGTTTTGACCTGCACGCTCTTCGCGACTGTGGTGGCGGTTCTTTACATCGTGGGTGGTGCAATTAAGATTCGATCCAGACTCCGTTTAAAGATGGTTTCGTAGACTTATGACTATAAAGTACAACTTACCAATCAGGTTGTTCCATTGCTGTCAGTCGTTGTTGGCTTGATCCTGGTGTTCAGGTATGTTGTTCGAGTCGGTTCAATTTCGCCAATGCTCAATTTAATTTCAGGAATGGGTATGCATCATCTTATTCCTAGATTATGGTATTGATGAGCTCACACCATTCGAGAACGAGCTATGATAGGTGGTGGGTTGACTATGTTATCGCGCCCGGTGCACCACTGAGCTCTTTGTGTAGGTATGAAGGAAGTAAGGACTGGGAGGCCACTGTCTCTCATACCCGTAATGTCTCGCGTCAAATATGGGTTTTTGTTACTTTACCACCGCCTGAGCGCAAGTCGATACTTACAAAGGACTCGCTTCGGGAGCTGAAGATCCGGGCTCTGAGGCTCATTGTTGCTTTTCTCTATGCAACGAAGCACCATCTACGAGACGAGCCTGGCATTGATTATGAAGATTATCAGGGATTATTTCCTGATGGCTTTTCGACGTACCTTCAAACCTCTATCGTCACGGGGTCGCAGGGCTCCTCTCCCAGTGGAGGCAACACCCCCAATCGCGTGACCCGTCCTCGAGTCACGAATGTAGGCACATCAAAGACGGTTGTCGAGGAGCGCACCCCTTTACTGAACGGGCAAAGTCATATTATTCACTTCCATGAGTATCCAGCGACGCAACCGCTGCCCCTTCCCCTTATGTGAGTTGTGAAGGCTGTTCTGGGTTGCAACTATTTTCATAGCTTGTCGCATCTTAGTATCGCACATGAGATCAGCTGCCTGCTGCACTACTTCCAATTGCAAGGGTGTCTTGCTGCTGTTGGACCCGCGGGTATGTGCATGTGACTTGTCCCGAACTTGTTTTGGGCAGCTGAGTTGTGTTGTCAGGCGCAAATGCCCTAAGCGGCATGTAAGAAGTACACATCTACGAAAATATTGAAGTGCGCTGATGGCAACTTAGGATTCAAGGAATGGTCAGTCAATTTGCGAAGGTCCGTACGCATTCGTGATGCATGTTAGTATTATTTCCTCATCCATGATGAATGATAGATGGAACGGGTTTGCAACACTCCAATTCCAGATTCTTGTATGTCGTGTCATAGTTCAATCCTATATTCTGAGTCATGTTCATTCCCTTCAAGACGGGATACATCTGAAACAGGTAGGTATATATCCCGTGTTGATCATAATGGATGTTGATGAACCATTTGTATTAGTGTGTAACGCTCTGTGCGTTGGGTGCGCTTTTCAGGGGATGTTATCGCTGAAGAGATCCCTATAGATTTGTTCACTTTGCCATTCACACTCGTTGCGGATCTTCGAGTAAGTCAATTTGCGCCAAACCTTCTGCTCGTTTATTTAACGTCGGCTCTCCAGTGGTTTATGATACCTGGTGCAACAAAGTCACTCTAGTGGTTCGGAAACTTGCTGACGATAAATTGCAGTCGTGACAGTGGTTAGTTTCACTTTGATGGGCATTGAGGGCATCGCCGATGAAATTGAAATGCCCTTCGGCACCGACCACTACGATCTTCCCCTTGATCGTATCTGCGGTGAAATCAGAGGGGAGGTGGAGTAAGTAGACACAATCCTCTCTGTCGCATGCTAAAAATTGCTTCTCTATCAATATAGATACATCATCGAAAGAATGCCAGAAGGCGGACTGGACTATAGGATATGATTGGGCAGGGGCAGGTGCTCCAGCTGGGGTTCTGAAAAAATCGGTCAAACAAAGTTTCCCTGAAATCGTTGCAAACTTGAATACACACTATCCCATCTTGGCTACATGGTTTTGACAGAACCTTGGACCAAGTCCAGGCTGGCCTGAATATCGTGTCCGTACTCTGAATAACAATGTTTTGCGTGACCATTCTCCCACGGTCCTTGTCACTGCTACAGTGCTACTTACGCGTTCCACTTACTCAATTGCATAACCCCGCGACAGAAAAGCTGACGCGGCTCCTGAAATCCTTTCCTTATAAATAGGGAGTAGTTAGACCCAGAAACTGCACACCACCATCAATACACCATGGACGAAGACGAGATCTTTGAGCACAGTGTATCTCCAATCATAGAGGAGGTAGATAATGTCGAGGACTCTAAACAGGCTAAATCCCTTGAGATCTACCTGAAATCGCTCCCTTACGAATGCGAATCCACCGAGGACATGCTGAGCACACTGAACTGCATTGTACAAAATCTCGTTCTCACCGCGCGTACCGCCAACTGGTCCGTGAATGTGGGATGGGACGAAACGCTGCAGTAGTCAGTACATTCAGTCCCTCTCATCAGCGTTGCATTGATCCGCCAACATCCCAGTTGGCTCATTATGAGGTACCCTATGCCTCGTATCGTTCGGGCGGGCCTCGCTCGATTTTACTTCGAGCTTATTGTTACACCTGGAATCGAGGCACGCTACCTCAAAACATGGGCTAATACTTTCCATAAGCTCATTCCAAATGCTGCTGGAGAGAGAAGGAAGCTTGAGCCAACTGACTTGCAGCTTCCATGGCGTGATCTCTGGACCGTGATTGTTCCAGAAGTGTGGCATGGCCCGGACACTGAGTTACTGTAAGCCCAAATGTCAAATTGCGCCCAACTATTCATTCATTCATCCATATCATCTTTCTTTTGAAGTCGAAATGTAGCCCCTGCTTTGATTTCTGTAGCAGAGACTTCCTCACGATACTTCAATCCTGCTGATGTTGAAGACATCATAAACGCAGTCCTGACAAGATTTGAACCCAACGTAGGAGCTTCGAACATGCCGCCCCAAGCAGGTTTGACCGTACGCTTCTACTTTAGAACGTTGTGCAGGACGTTACAGTCCTCATGTCGCTATTGCCCCCTGTCAATGTCCAAATGTACCTCCCAATATTCTTCAGAATATGGGAGGCGTTCAATTCTAGCCAGTTGGACGAAAGAATGCTCGAGTTTTCTGGGTCGCTCGCGCAGGAATGTGTTTCAGTTGAGTTTGATGGTCCTTCGACCCCTGCCTGGAAAGATGTGGGGATTTTTACAGCTGAGCAATGGGCCAAAATATGCAGGACCGCGCTGGTCTTTATGCGTTAGTACCATCTTATACTAGTACCAGAGACGAGTGATCAAGTTGTTATTTATCACAGAGGTCCCAGTGGGAGGTGGTAACTCAGTGAGTCTAGTTCTAGTTTGTTGCCACATGATTTCATCTTCCTTTGAAGAACACAGGGACCACCGGTGGGCACGTCGACTCGGGCCAATCGAATCGCCCTCTGAGGAAGGGTGGAAATGTTCACCGTGCGTGTTTCTTTCCTCTTGATTCTCCTGTCCGCTCATCAGGTAATGCTTCAGAGCATCTGGCTACCATTTTTGTGTATTCGATGTTTTCTGATCTGGAGGGCGATGACTTCGGCGGTACATGTGCTCACTCGAAGTCCCTTCGCAGTCTCACTACAATCATAACGAGCGTGGAGACATATTTCCACCCATCCAACCATGGCACGTGGACCGGACAAGTATTCATGTTTGTCACACGCACTAGTCCTACCCTAAACGCCTTTCTTTTATGCAGCTCACTACCTTCTTGCAACGCCTTACATATGCATTCTCCAAACGATGGACTGAGGAGCATTTCCCGGACTGCAAAACGCCACCTGTAAGCCTGCCTTCCATCTCTTGTCAGCTAGAACTGCACCATTCCTGTCGCACAGCATCACCGGTTGACCGACCATGTGAAGAGAAAATTCGTTGAGTTATTGCAAACACCAGCGTTGCTCTCAATGTTCGCCAAAGATCCTGTATCCATTGCGCTTTCACACGCATCCCTGAAGACACTTGCCGTTCTCGAACCTGACATAATTTTGCCCTCTATCATTGAACGAGCATATAGCGGACTGGAAAGTGTGAACGAGGTCAGCGTCCGCCTAACACTCCTCGATAATATATTAATTGGAGTCCTTGCACAGACCCACAGAGCCACCGCCGTTTTGAGTTGCCTCTCTGCTGTGGCGTCCACTCTCGTCAATGAGAATCTGTTCTTAGGAGGGCAGAGGCATTTGATCCCGCTTTTGGAGCAAGCGCTCCCGGGACTAGATATTAATGATCCTCTAAAGGTACGAGCCCCTTTTCGCCAATATTTGCGTTATTCTCACCTGCCCAACACTGCCAGACTGTAAGTAGATTTCTAGCTAGTTGGAATCACTGAACCACAACAACAAATCCAGATTTGCTCGACCATGTTTATCTCCGCCGCAATAAGCAGCATCAAGGTCGGGAATATCTCTGGACAGGTAGCCTTGACCCTGGGAGATGACGCACCAGTCGCTATCGAAGCAGACGGAACTGTCATGCCAGAGGGGACAGAGGGACCAGGTTCCAAACTGAATCGCAATGAAGAACGTGCGCTCCTTCGCGACAGTACAGCGTCTTTCCCAGGTAGTGTCTATCATCTCCCCTGGGATCATGTCGCTGAATGAGGACACTAGACTGGGTCACTTCATTCTTCCGGAGAATCTTTGCCCTCTTCGAAAACTTGCCAGAAGAAGGTGGGAAATCCAGCAAGATCGGAGGGAAGTCCGAAGGTACTTTAAATAACCGTGGACGTTGCTCGCTGTGCTAATGGCCAATCCAGAGACTTTGTTGAAGTCAATTCGGACCACCCTCGATATCATGGCGTCGCATCTTTCCGATCCTCTCTTTGATCTGGTCTTGGGAATCGTGTACGACTACGCAATTACTAATGCCCGAGCGAATTCAGTTCGAGCATTTAGCAATCTAGTGGCGTCCTTAGGCAAGGCAAACCCAAAGAAGACACTCGACAAATTTTGGAAACATTGTACTGAGCAGATAAAAATCGAGCTTGAGAATGGAGCATCGAGTCTGAGGACGACTTCCACGAGCTTGCCAATCGCATCTGATACTACGCTCCATTGGTGTAGGTCCTGAGTCATACTCGGATAGCCTGGTGTAGCTGACCTAAACTTGGGGCCAGATTTGGGCATTTTGCGTGGTATCACATCAACTGGAGGTTATGAGGTGTGTTGATCCGCAATTCGTGTCGATACGTATCTGACTTTCCCATTTAGCTTATAACGTACAAGGATGAAATTTTCGTTATGCTCAAGCTACTTGTTGCAAAAACGAAAAATGAACGAGGATATAATAACACAGGTCGTTTGGTTGGCCGATTACTTGCCGCTTTGATCAATATATACCCATTGGAACAGCGATTAGTCAACGATGATGAGTGGAACAGCAAGAGTGAGTTTTGGGTTGTGGTGGTCATCTCTGTGGCTTATCTTCAAATTCAGAATTTGAGCAAACTCACTATCAAGCGTGGGGTCGAATATACCGTCCCGAAGACGTCGTTATCAATTGGCATGTTCCTCGGGACGCCGAAATCGATTTTGCAATGGAAATACTGGATCAAATCATTAATCCCTGCTTGGATGCCCTTGAGGGTTTACTTCGCGTCCCCTCCAATTCGCGGGAAGCCGTGTGGCGAAATGACTTTTGCCGGTATGGCTGTCCTCTGAAAGACTCCCTATTCTGTTGAACGACACCCTAGATATCTGTACATCGTCCGTTCCGCGTGGAGTGGACTGCCAACATTCATTCTGGGCCGAGAAGAACCAATGGTGGACGACAAGACCTTGGATCCTACCACCGAGTTAGCATCGTTATCGGCAGATGCACTTCGGATGAAGTGCGGGTTTGTCTTGACAAAGCGGGATCGTCGATACACAGTTGCTCTCGGACACCGGGAAAGATTCGGGCAATTCTTACACAATGCGTCTGTCTCACTCACTCATTCTGAGTCCAAAGACGCTAGCGACGATCACATCGATGCAGTTATGGCTGTGAACAAGGGCATCGACACTTATCTACTTGATTACGGTATGACGCGGGCTTCATATGCAACTCAAAAGAAACTATACGACAGTACGCGGGATTTGTGTCTTTCAGTTGGGAAACAGAAGCTTTTCCCTCGCCAGGTGTGGGTAAAACGTGCACACGTAGGCTTTTCTTTTGTATGTTTTTGTTTTGCTACTAACTTCCATGACAAGGCCTATCACGCTCTGCGTGTTCTCACCCACAGCCTTTATAGAACTCGAAAGACTCTCGATGACCTATTGATCAAGGACCTTGTAGAATTTTCGTTGTCACCTTACACTCGAGTTCGAAAGTGAGGATAAGGGCTGGTCATGAATGCCTTTGCTAACTCCATATATCAACGCAGGAGCAGTCAGGCCATTGTAGCAAACATCATCTCAGTTCGTATCTATTGAACTAATCCCATCCGTGCTGTTCAATCCGTACTATAGTATTTTATTCGGTCGTCAAGGATTGTATTAGCTCAGGTTTTCGAGGCTCTGCAAAAACAGTCGGACCTCGGCAAAGCCGGAGATCCTGACCGGCAGAAAGGTGGGAGTCTATATAGTCTTAAAACGCTTCATTGCTCACCACCTGGTTTTACCAGGTGCACTGTATCTTCTGTGGAATCGATCTCTCGCATCATACGCTCTGAGTAGTGGGTGAAAGTGGCACTTTTGATAGATTGATTTCTAAATGGAAACAATTTCTAGCCCCTAAATATTTACCTTCTTTTTACCACAGCCTTCTCAGCCTTCAATATCAGGAAAAGGTGGCTTCCACGTATCGGTTAACAACCATTTAACTAATCTTCCTTCAGCCCTCAATTCAGCAACTTGTCGCCGCCATCATCGAAGACAGTCAGTTGACCCCGCTTCTTATCTTTCGCATCGCCTCATATCATCACAGGCTTGGGTCAAGTTACACTTGAATCACTGGACGTGTCGATGTCGGCCTCCCTTCCATCGCCACGTTTCGTCAAACTTATCGATAATCTGGAGAGCCTTTGCGGATCATCTGACCCCTCCCTGACACAGCTGGTGATCGAGCGGCGTGAACCCAGGCTTCAACTGAAAGTTGACAAGTATAATCAAACGGTACGAGAATCTCAGCTACTACATTCCTTCTCTTATGGCTTCTTAGTGCCAGGAAATTTGTACGATCGCCCGCAGCAATGAGACACATGTAAGGGGTGTTCTTTTTGTACCCACAGAAAATTTACAGCTCTTTCGTCTAGTGGAAATATCAGCAATGGTCCATGGCACTGCTATTGCGACTTACTCGGAAGGACCATCCAGCAACATCAGAAGTTGCCCTACTCTTTGCTGAGAACATTCTCTCAGACCACCCAAATACCCGATCCTACGCCCAGAAGTAAGAGACATTTAACTCACTCGCTCGCCAGCCTAAGACATCATCTCTTCACTTTGTCCAGGGGTCTCAGTAGACTTCTACGATTCATCAAGTCCCGAACGTTCAGCAAGACGCCGCAAGATCTTTGGTTAAATAGGCACTTCAACCCACTCAGAGCTGAGTTTCAATTCCAGGATCTTAATACATTCCTGGAGTCACAAGAGCGACAATCATCAATACCTTCAGATACGTGAGTCAATTTTTCGACGAGCTATTCATCCAGCTCACTTCCCCTAAGCATTTATTACGACAAAGTCCCCCATGGCGCCCTAGTCTGGAACCAAACCGTACGCGGTTACCGGAAGCCTCCCCAGGACCTTCCTGTCTTCCAATGGGAGAGTGAATCTTTGGATCTCCTCACGGCCTTACGTGGTTATTTGGATGAAGCTTGGTTTTCCCACTTACTGAATCTGTGGGCCCAGGAAGGAGAACGCTCCAATACCACAACCGATCTGCGAGCTGAAAACACGACTTTAATAAAGATCCTATGTGAGCACTTTCGTTCAAGCCCCCAGCCGCGTATTGACGTCAGGATTAGTTTACGTGCTTCAGGGAGCCCACACATCCTTGGTCTTACCTCTTCTCGACCCTTTCTTACGTGACGTAAGTGAATTCTGTTTAGATTACAGAGATGGATTTACCAATGACGATCGCAGCCAGACAAACATCGTCTCAGGGCCGGTTTAGAATTCCTTGGAGGGCTTGTTCGTGGTTCTAAACACTTCCCTGGGCAGCTGATATCACAAATGTCGAATTGGGTCACGGCTCGTCTCCCAGCGATACTAGCATTGATCACCCCTGACACCGTCACACTTTGGGACTCTTTCTTAGGCGTAAGCCCGTTCCGTCCTGTCCATTTGCCCCTTATCTCATAGCTATCACAGCTCCTGTTCCAGAACCGCGATCCTCGCCGTACAAGATCATTTGTCGACTTCGTTCTTGACCAGCCAGTAGATTTTAATGGCGCATCTGTTTTTTCTTGTTGAGTTGCAGTGATTGTTGAGCCGTCTCATCACTCACTTCCATCGCTAGTAACGAAAACACTGTCGTCAGTTGCCAGTCTCGCGGATGGGCTCAGTGTCCGTTTCCTCCCTTATTCACATAAGTATCTCGATGCCTTTTTCGAGAATTTGGGGACACCCTATGCAGAAGTCAGGACACAGATTGTTGCCACTATTCTGATCATTGGCAACCTCACAGTGAGCAGATGATGGCCAGCTGCCCTTATTCCATTGTATTAACCCACAGTTGAAGTGGTGCCCATCGCATCCTTCGGCTACTGTCTTGGCTAGGCGCTGCGCATCTGATGAAGATCCGCTACTTGTTAGGGAAACAAGATATATGTCAAGACTATTGAAGCTCTCTGACCAATTTGAGAAGTGGAGAAACGAGAGACTTCCAGGAGCTTGGGTTTCCCAATCAATGTATGACAAAGTCGGGCTCACTCGTACGTCATGTAATCTATTGCGACCCCTGCGACGCCCTTACGTTTGGTCCTGCAGTGTTGACTTGGATTTGGAGCACAGCGTATAGCATTGGAGCACCATCTATCTTCGCCTACACACATCCGTTCCTGTGAGTTAAACCAGTGTCAATATTGGTCCTGCTTCGCCATTAAACATTCAATCAAGTCCGGAGATTTTCCGGATGAGTGAACTACAGGACTCGTCGGAGCTACAGTCATACAGCTCGGGGGTGCTCTATGTCTTGTCTGCCGTTGCGCCTCCAACTGAATATGTGGGTTCTCTTACAGAGAGCTTCATTAGCGCTATTCGCATGTCGCCTGTAGGGATACAGATCCTTCGGGCAACTGAGGGCTTGCTGACATTCATTTCATCAGTCCTGGCGTGTTCGGCATAAAGCCATCCCCGTACTGTCCGTTTGGTACTTCCGTAACCTGCCCAATCTATCCCAGGACATGATAAACCGAGTGATGGAGGTTTTGGTTGAATGCCTTCGAGATGAGAATGTTGAGGTTAGGGAGACGTCAGCGACGTGAGTAATGCCAATGAAGAGTGACTTCGCCGCATAATGGAGTGCCCTCATATATAGGACGTTGTCTGGTGTTTTGCGCTGTTCGCAGAAAAGCAATGTTATTGCATTAAAGGTGACAGTCGATCCATAGTCCTATCACACCTCGGCTCGGCTAATTCTCTTTTGCAGGATCGCTTTGTCCGTAATGCCCTGCGTGCCAAACTCCCTAAACGCAGCGACCCAGAGTACTCTGATGCATTGCGCAGGCTTCATTCGGCAATCCTAGGCATGATTGCCACGCTGCAAGCATATCCCTACGTTGTTGAATCATGGATGCCCAGCCTAATTGAGACATTGTCGAGGTTTTCCAGTGAGCCTCAGCCAATCTCGAGCGCAATCCGTAAATTTGCGGCCACATTCAAGAGGACGCATCAGGTGTGTGAAACGACTCAAAGCAGACCCCGCATGTTCTCACGCCGCATGGTGTAGGACACCTGGCACTTGGACCAACATCTGTTTGATGAAGACCAAGCCCAGGCATTGGCAACAATGTTGACAGGAACAAGCTATTGTAAGCAAGCACTTTATTTAAATTGATTTGTCCTGATGACTCCATCATAGACGCATGATTTGAGACGCTACACATACATTAGCCTCTGTATGATGTAAACTACACCCTCGCTTGAGTAATTTAGAAATTATGTTTCCTTTGAACTACTCTCGTTCAATCGGCCAACCAGATTGCTGACTGGTCCAGACAAACCATCCTGCGCTGCATAACTTTTCAAAAAGTTTTTGATAAGATCATATTCCTTGTTTGGCTCCATGTTTTCATCCTCGGAATCACTGTCGTGCTCTATGGCATGAAGTAATTCAGCTTCCATTCGTGCTTCGATGTCAAGACTCTCATCGTCTTCAAATGTGGGTGACATGCTAGAAAAAGGGGGCAATGCCCTTTCCTTCCCTTTTTGTGATGTCCGTGCTGGCTGAGCTTGTTGAAGCTTCGAGTCCATCGTTGTCATGAGGCTCTCGAACGAGTGGAGATCAGGGGGGTGAGGCCCATTGGCTATCTGAGAACCTCAACATGTTAAAGAATCGGAAAAAAGAAGGCTTGCACTCACTTCGGAGGTTGGCCCCGGTAAATTGGGTACGAAGGCTGATACAAAAAGGTTTGTAGGGCATCTTAGACAGCAATGAGGGAAATACCTCCTCGCTCTTGGCGGACTTTCACAATGTCATCCCACTGTTCCGTGCTGATGCCCAAGATGTCCCTAGTGAACTGAATGAAATCTTCCTTCTCAGCTTCCATGTCCACTTCGATCTCTCCTACAACAGTCGGTCGGTCCTCGTCCTCTTCACTGTCGTCGCAAGGAATGAAGTCCAAGTCATCATCAGGATCACTCTCATCATCTGAGTCCACTCCGTCAAACTTGTCCCTTTGAAAGATAGGCTTTCGAATTGGTTTAGACTGGCAAGAATCCATGGTGGGATCCTCAGAAGTCGACATTGGCTGCCGACGTGCAATTGGCCGAGAATTAGAGTACTTGGCTGGCAAAGCACCGTACTCCGAAGCAGGAAGAGGAGGAACAAGGTCATCCATGACCCTTGCACGAGCCGCCGCATCCATCGGCTCATCCCCTGCAGACGCCCATCCGTCCTCATCACTTAAGTTAAGCGACTCACCGTCTGACAGATCATCCAGAACCTCATCACTATGGGAAGAAATTTAGAACAACATAACATAGTGGGTTGTTTATCACTCAACTCATCAAATTTGGCGCCTTCAAGATCACCCTCCCTCTGCACGAATTGTTCTACTCGTCCGGCAAGCTTTTTCAGCTTTGAGGCTTGGTCAGCCACCGTTGGATCCTCTTCGTTTTCTGCCAACGTCACTTGCGTTGATGATTGCAGACCATCAAACAGGCCGCCCAAATCATCTGGAGATGCCGTCATCCACTCGTCCGGATCTTCACCACGGTCGAAGACTGTCAGTTCTGAGTGCTTCTTCGCTTTTTCGACCGCAACGTTGACATTCTCTGCAAATGATAGACGTCCAGTTTCACTGGGTGTCCAAGGTCAGTTCAAAGCAAATAAGATGTCCGAGTGAACTACGTGCTCTGCTTTCCTAACATCAAGCCAAGCACGCACAGCTCGGTTCTCGGCTTCCCGCCATTTTTGGGAGCCTTCAAGTTCATGGTCGAAGTAGCCAAGTTTCGCAAGCGTTCGAATGTACTCTTGATATCCCTTGTCAAGCGCCAGGGCATCTTTGGTAACGCCGAGCTATACAAACCATAAGTAAAAAGAACATTGCGGGGCATACATGTCCACATACGGCCAATGCTTTATTTGTTTTTACCGAAGCTTTCGACTTGGTTTCTGCATATAACATCTCAAAGCCACAAGCCTGTTCTCGCATTTGATCAGCGACAGTCGGGTCGCCCCGGCGGATTTGCCTACTATCTTCATGCCAAGACTTTTCGCTTGCCAGTCCCGGCTTCCCTCTTTCTCACTCCATCGTCCAAAAATTTTAGGGGGATGGAAGTTTTGGCTGACCAGCTGAGCATATGCTATGCGTGTCATCCGTATGGAGGCGAAAATGGAACTGGATGGCGGGAACCTGGACATTTGATAGACAGGCTAAAAAGAGAAATATGAAACCAATCACAAGCCACATAAATTCTACCAACGTACTCGTAGCTGGATGGCATCCCGAGTGTAAAAAGCCTCCACCGCTCGTTGCACTAATGCCGATTCTTCACTCAGTGCAAGAGCGATGTCAAGTGGAAGGAAGGCACGAGTCAGATGAGTATGGTTATGGCATGCTTGGGGATAACTGTCGTTGGGGAATTTGTATGAGATGGGTAATGTTATTGAGTAACTCCAGCGCCACCGACCTCTTAATTTTATTATCAACTCTTAAATGCATGCTATGTGGCGCAACAGTCTCAATGGTTGAGTCGCGCAGTGTCTCAAGCGCATCAATTACGCTAATATACGATTCGTTATCCATCTCCAGGCCGGGTTCTTCCTCATTTATGTATTTCAGGGAACCATGACGTCGCACTCGTGGGACGTCAGGCGTTGACACGAAGTGGATTGGAATGAGGTGTATCTGGGACTGAAAAATCCAAACCTGCGGACGAGTGAGCCCCAAATTTAGAAAGCTAATGGCACAGATAGCTCACCCGATTTTCCGAATTTGCTGGGGAAATCCATTTGGGCAGCACATCAGCTGCTTCAATCAGTAAAAACTCTCCATCTGAGTCAGAGATGCTGGAATTCGGAGGTATGAAATAAAGAAATGAAAGAGAGCAGAGGCCATGCACCTTATTGCAACATCGATTATTAGAGACACCTCGCGCAAAAGCCACACCAAACACCATTCATCATCGATGCTGTCGCCAATACGCACAGTACCTTCTAGTTTCCACCGCGGAGTGCGAGAGGGGGCCTCATTGGGAAGGGCACGGGCTAACTTTACCTCAAACGCATCTTTATGCCACAAAAAGGATGTTGGAAGCCGCGAGTGCACTGTCTCCCGAATTTGAGCACCCAACACCACACATGAAGACTCCGAGATGGACACTGAAGGATTAGGATAGAATGTGTATTGAACCGTGTCCTCTGATATTGAGGGTGGTTGGTTAAAAATATCCGTGCCGGATGTCGAGCCTCGCATGACTTGATGACATGATGCTGAAAATTCTCACGCTCCTTGAACTTGATGACTAGAGTGCGTGCTTCGCATCGCTGCTACATGCACAGCATTTGATCCAAGCATTATTACACGAACTATTTACATAAAATGCTATGGTACAGGTGTGTGCGTTCTTGGATGGAACATGGAGGGGCCGGTAGCTACATTGTAAGGTAGACGACTTTATCACTATGTCGGAAATTGCCGGATGTGGCAGTGCAGGTCACACATTTCTTGTGGTTGGTGCATCATGTACAAACTTGTAGGTAGTTCTATGTAGCTTCTTTCCTAGTCATTAATTCCTGGACAATATCATGTGTCACATCTGCTGGTAGCTGGCAATGACCTCTATACTTTTTGACTGTATAAGATGAAATGAAGGACTAGCGATGTTGTTGCTCAGTCTGCTATTGTCAGGGCCCGGCCTCGGACTCGGAGGCTCCCTGACCTCAACCCCCATCTAACCTGTCCTCACACTATGCAGGGCATGAGATGTATAGTAAAAGGAAAGATAATATATACACTTGCCTATGCGGGGCATGAGATGAGAAGAAGGGTAAAGGTCTCATCTCCCCGCATGGTTGCTATATAAAGGAATGGGTCACATGCCCACAACTATACAGCTCTTAGAGTTGTGTAGTGTGACCCGGAGGGAACATCCAGGTGGCAGTGCCCAGTAAGCGTGGGAACGTTCTGGGCGAGTTGCTCGCCCAGAACTGTGGCTGTGACCCGTGGGAACATTCTGGGCGAGCTGCTCGCTCAGAAAGTTCCCACGCTATCCCGTGCGCGCGGATACACAACACAGAAAGGCAACAACAAGGCAACAATGAAGGAATGGAAGGAAGGGATTGGTTGGGGAGTCTGGGGCACCCTAGGGCAGGGTGCTGAACCCTGACAGCTATGTGTGAACTAGAAAGTAATCACCTAGCAATGTTGTTGCTGGTGTACGAATATTAGATACACGTTGTTAAACACATAAGTGAAGGAGAAAACTTAGACTCACCTCAGTCCGCTATGCATGAACTGAGGAGAAGTCATAAGGTCCAAAAATTGGTGTTTTATAGTCAGGTGCTATCAATGTGCACTGACTTTAGAAACAACTGATCCAAAAAAGGGAAACAAAGTAAATCTTAGTGCTGCAAGACTCAACATCAACAACGTGAGTTGGCCTCAGCATACGCTTGTATCCCAAGAAATTTAACACACCCACTCACTGGGCCTACTCATGTAATCCCATCGCGATTTGGAACTTCGAGTGCTTCTCATGCGCTAGAGCTTTTGTGAGGACATCAGCAACTTGATCGTTTGTGTCATATCCATCCCCGGCCATCGACTTCCGGTCCCTCCGATCCCTCCGTTCTAACTCCGCTCCTCCCTCACTAACCTCGGAGCCCCCGTATTCCGCAATCCTCTCGGTACCCCTCGATGGTCACCACCCCCTCATTTCAATTTATTACCTACGCCTCCCTAAGTACGGAGCCCCGAAGACTTCCGGACAGCTCCAACGTCCGCTAGCGCACCCCCGCCTCCGCTGGGCAATACACTCGCCTGCCCTGCAGAGCCCACCTTCGGGCCTATCCCTCCTTTCCGTTTCTGGGTTAATGCCTACCTTTCCGCTAACCCCGCGAACCGACTCGTCGGTAATATTCAGTCGGCTAACGTTTAAACCCCGTTAGCTCCGCTCCGTTCGGCTCCGCCAATTGCGGACCCGTCCCCGCTGTAACCATATATATATCCCACTGGTACATAGGTTACGCCCCAGTAGTAAAATCAACTAGAGTTACCCCCCTAGGTTCTAATTGCCAGTCAGTAAGTTAGGGCATGGATGTGTCACTAGGCACAGCGCTCTTGGCAGAAGTCGCTGAGGCCGAAGCCCTCCATTATGGAGACATTCCTTCGTCTCGAATCTGGTCTCTGACAGTATTTTACTACTCCCTGACTAGTACATGTCTTGTATGGCACCAAAAGTCCTTTGCACTCGTTCGCAACTACGCACATTAGTCCCCAACTCCGCTTCACCTTCCCCAGAACCCTCTCAGCCTGGTCCTAGTCGATTGGCGAGAAACCCAGTTGAGTTTCGAAGCTTTTCTAACCTTGAAACCCCTCTCCCATCGACTCCGATCATGCGCCCCGTTAGGAATCGATCACCAGTTGCAGACTCCGACTTCGGAGACACCACGGAACAACCCATAGATCCCGCCCACTTCTTTGGACTCGGTTCTGAGGTCCCCGACTTCGTCGACCCTCCTCCTGCTGATCCTCCCATCCCCACTGTCCCAACCACCGACGATCCCGAACCCACCTCCAACGTGGCCATTACACAATTGGCCCAAGCCATTGCCAGTCTGGCTCGTCACACCGGACGATGATGACGACGACCATCTTCTGCTCTCCGGACCAAGGTCCGCGAACCCGAACAGTTCGACGGAAAGGATCCCCGAGAACTCCGAGTATTCTTGGTCCAATGCGAGCTCAATTTCCAGGACCGTCCCCTCGCTTTTGCTAGCGACCGCGCTAAAGTCATATTTGCGCAGTCCTACCTCAAAGGAATGGCCCTCGATTGGTTCGAGCCGGACCTGTTATTCGACCAGAATTCCACGCTTCGTCCGTGATGGATGAACGACTATCAAGAGTTCGTTAATGAACTCCAAACTAACTTCGGCCCTCATGATCCTGTGGGCGACGCCGAGGTTCAACTGATGACACTGGACATGAAGGACGGGCACCACATCAATAAATACGTCGTCGAGTTCAATCGACACGCCTCTCAACTTCACGGTTACGGAGAAGCTGCGCTTCGTCGTTTCTTCTACAACGGATTGCCGGAACGTATCAAGGATGATATTGCCAGAGTAGGTAAACCCTCTACTCTCTCTGAGCTTCGCACCCTTTCCCAAACTCTCGATGCGCGCTATTGGGAGCGTAAATCGGAAGTTACATGTCACGCGAAACCCTCTTCCTCTAACGTTTTTGACAAGTCCACCGCCGCTTCTCGTTCCGACCCCGTCCCTTCCTCCTCCTCTTTCAACTCCGCTTCCGGTAGTAGGCCTCCGAAGGACAATAAGAAGTCCGAGGCCAGCTCCATTAAACCGGACCTCTCTTCTAAACTTGGAGACAACGGCAAGCTCACGCCACAAGAGCGTAAGCGTCGTCTCGACGAGAAACTTTGTATGTTCTGCGGTCAGTCTGGCCACATGGTCAAGGACTGTCCCAAGTCTTCTTCTCGCGCATCTAAGGCCCGTTCGGCCCAGACCGAGGAGCAAGGATCCGCTTCCGCAGAAGCAAAAAATTAGTCCGCACCCCCATGGACTCCGCACGGACCGGGGGTTGCGATCCTTCCTTCCGTGCGCTCAAAGAAGTGCGTTTAAACGCGTCTTCCATTTCCGACTTATCCTCCCTCCACATTCCTGTTTCCTTTTCTCTTTCAAATGGTCTATTTTCTCCTTTCAATGTTGACCCTTCGGGCAATGTTCTACCCGTTGTAGATAGTGTTGCTGATGTACCACTCTCTCCTCCGCCCCCTCCGACTACTTCCGTAGATCGATCCACCTCTCTCTGCTTCTCTTCTTCTTCTCCTCCTGTTTCTCCTCCGTCCAATAGTAGGACACAAAATAAACTTTTCCGCTCCTATGAGAACGTACCCGCACTCGTAGATTCTGGGTCTTCGGACTGCTTCATCGACGACACCTTCATAAAAAAGCTGGCCTTGAAGACATACCAGATCAAACCCCTACAACTACGCCTATTCGACGGTAGCACAAACTCGATCATAACCCATGCCGTTGATATTCCCCTCCGCTTCGCTTCCGGAAACATCACCCCCACGACTTTCTTTGTCACATCGCTGGATGGATCATGTTCCCTAGTCCTAGGACACAACTGGCTTACCCGCTACAATCCGTTGATTGACTGGGTCTCAAGCAGTATCACGTTCCGAACTTCCGAACCTACCAAGACAGTCACTCCGAGCTCTCCCCCGTCGTCTCCGGCAACACTGCCGTCATCCGACATCCAACCATCTGATGTTTTGCCAGCACCTCAGTCACAGGCTGTTACTCCTCCATTACCATCTGTCGAGTTCGTCAGCCGTTCCGCATTCGCGAAGGCTTGCCAACTTGAAGGATCGGTATCCTTCAGCCTAACCATCCCTTCCGAGGAAAGCCGCTTGAGGGCTGCCTCATCCCACACCGATTCCGTCGACCTCTCGGCCGTTCCGAAGGAGTATCACAAGTTCACGGATGTGTTCAGTAAGAGCAAAGCCTCGACGCTGGCACCGCACCGTGAGCACGACCTAAAGATCGACCTTGAGGAAGGCACCTCCCCACCCTTGGGTACCATGTACTCTCTCTCTCCTTCGGAACTCGAGGCCCTCTGGGCATTCTTAGACGAACACCTGGCCTCCGGTTTCATTCGTCCCACTACTTCCGCTCACGCGGCACCGGTCCTCTTCGTCCGCAAGAAGGACGGATCCCTCCGTCTTTGTGTCGACTTCCGAGGGCTGAACAAGATCACCAAAAAGGATCGCTACCCACTTCCCCACATCTCCGACCTCCTTGACGCACCTAGCCATGCCACGGTCTATACCAGACTCGACCTCCGGCATGCTTACCACCTGGTTCGCATTGCAGCAGGCGACGAATGGAAGACTTCCTTCCGCACGCGCTATGGTTCCTATGAGTGGCTTGTCATGCCATTCGGCCTCACGAATGCACCTGCGGCTTTCCAGTGATTCGTCAACACGATCTTTGCCGACCTCTTGGACGTTTCTGTGGTGGTCTACCTAGACGACATCCTTACCTACTCGAAAGACATGGCTTCGCATCAGGAGCATGTCCGAGAAGTTCTTAAGAGACTCCGCAAACACGGCCTATACGCCAATCCGAAGAAATGCGAGTTCCATATGGACACTACGGAATATCTCGGTTACTGCCTCTCTCCTTCCGGACTCACCATGTCCATCGAGAAAGTCAAAGCCGTCCAAGATTGGCCTGAGCCCCGTAAAGTCAAGGATGTCCAATCCTTCCTTGGCTTCGCTAACTTCTATCGGCATTTCATTCACCAATACTCCGACATTGTGGTCCCCTTGACGCGCCTCACGCATAAAGGAGCCCCCTGGCTATTCTCCGATGATTGTCGCGCTGCTTTCAACACCTTGAAAGAGGCCTTCACTTCCGCTCCTATCCTCACACATTGGCTACCCGATGCCCCCCTCATTGTAGAAACCGACGCCTCCAATTACGCGATTTCCGGAATCCTTTCCATTCGCTGTGATGACGGAGAAATTCGCCCCGTCGCTTTCCACTCAAGAACACTCTCGGCGCTGGAGCTCAATTACGACACCCATGACAAGGAACTGCTCGCCATTCATGATGCGTTCCGATCATGGTGTCATTACCTCGAAGGTTCAGGAACCCCAATCGACGTCGTCACCAACCACAAGAACCTCGAGTATTTCTCCACCACCAAACTCTTGACCCGGCGGCAAGCCCGCTGGTCAGAGTTCCTCTCCCAATTCCACATGACAGTCCGATTCCATCCTGGAAGACTCGGAGTTAAACCAGATGCGTTGACAAGACATTGGGACGTCTATCCCAAAGAAGGGGATATGGACTACGCTCGCGTCAATCTGCAGAACTTCCGACCGGTCTTCACTTCGGAGCAGCTCACTGTGTCCTTACGAGCTACGTTCCTAGCTGCCACAGTAATCCGAGCAGCTGTACTCGTCGACACAGAGGCTCTTCATCGAGACATCCTAACCTCCCTCTCCTCCGACACCTCAATCTCTTCTCATCTCTCTTCCCCCAACCTCCCCAACTCCCGCTGGTCCGTTGATGCCAAAGGCCTCTTAAGGCTGGACAAGCGCATTTACGTGCCGGATTCTAACGATCTCCGTCTTCGCGTTTTGCGAGACAAACACGACCACCAACTTTCCGGACACTTCGGGCAAAACCGGACTCTGGATCTAGTGCATCGTGAGTATACCTGGCCGGGCATCTGTAACTTCGTCAAGAGTTACGTATCCTCCTGCACTTCGTGTGCCCACACCAAGGTCCCCCGTCATAAGCCTTACGGCTTACTCAAACAACTCCCCATCCCAGAACGTCCTTGGAACTCCATCTCCATGGATTTTATCGAACAGCTACCCTCCTCTTCCAGATTCACTTCCATCTTGGTCGTCGTGGACCACCTGTCCAAACAGTGCATTTTTATCCCTACCCACGATACCATCACCTCTCCGGAACTGGCCAAGCTTTTCCTCCTCCATGTGTTCTCCAAGCACGGAGTTCCATCCCACGTCACCTCCGACAGGGGTCCGGAGTTTGTCTCTCATTTCTTCCGTTCACTTGGTAAGGCCCTCGACATCCGCCTCCACTTCACCTCCGGATATCACCCGGAAGGAGACGGTCAGACCGAACGGATGAACCAGACGCTCAAGCAGTACCTGCGCATTTACAGTAACTACCAGCAGGACAATTGGTCCGAACTCCTGCCTCTCGCAGAGTTCGCATACAACAATGCTCCGAATGCCACCACGGGCGTCTCCCCATTCTTCGCCAACAAAGGCTACCATCCGAACATCACCGTTCACCCGGAGCGAGACCTGACATCGGTACGCGCCCAAGAATACTCCGTCGACCTCGACTCCCTCCACCACTTCCTTCGCGAGGAAATGCATCTCGCTCAGATCTGTTATCAGGGCCCGGCAGACTCTCGTCGGAGCCCTGCCCCAGCTTTCGAAGTAGGAACCTCGGTCTACGTAAAGGCCAAGTACTTCCGTTCCACTCGACCTTCCAAAAAGCTCTCTGAGAAAAACCTCGGTCCATTCGAGATCATCGCCCGCGTTGGAACCCACTCCCTCACTCTCCGCCTGCCGGAAAACATGCGAGCCATTCACCCGGTATTCCATGTCTCGCAGATCGAACCCTCCTCCCGAACACCATTCCGAACCACCACCAGCCACCTCTGCCTCCCATAGAAATCGAAGGCGAGATGGAGTTCGAGATGGAGGAGATACTCGACTCCAAGATCGACCGACGTAGACGCAACAAGTTGCTCTACTTGGTTAAGTGGCTAGGCTATGAAGGGACCGACGAGGAGACACAATGGCTCCTTGCCGGCGAACTCGATCACGCCTCCGACCTCGTCGAAGCGTTCCACTCTCGGTATCCAGCGAAGCCTGGACCCGAAGCTCCTTAGGAACCCCGACTCCTCTCCCATTTCTCCTTTCCCCTCCGCTCCTCACTTCCGTTTTCATTTTCATTTCCTCATTTGCTTTTCTTCCTGTAAGTGCAGCTCCCCTCGTCTTACTAATTCTGGGCCTTCAAGGGTTCAGGCCTAAGAAGGGGATACTGTCATATCCATCCCCGGCCATCGACTTCCGGTCCCTCCGATCCCTCCGTTCTAACTCTGCTCCTCCCTCACTAACCTTGGAGCCCCCGTATTCCGCAATCCTCTCGGTACCCCTCGATGGTCACCACCCCCTCATTTCAATTTATTACCTACGCCTCCCTAAGTACGGAGCCCCGAAGACTTCCGGACAGCTCCGACGTCCGCTAGCGCACCCCCGCCTCCGCTGGGCAATACACTCGCCTGCCCTGCAGAGCCCACCTTCGGGCCTATCCCTCCTTTCCGTTTCTGGGTTAACGCCTGCCTTTCTGCTAACCCCGCTAACCGACTCGTCGGTAATATTCAGTCGGCTAACGTTTAAACCCCGTTAGCTCCGCTCCGTTCGGCTCCGCCAATTGCGGACCCGTCCCCACTGTAACCATATATATATCCCACTGGTACATAGGTTACGCCCCAGTAGTAAAATCAACTAGAGTTACCCCCCTAGGTTCTAATTGCCAGTCAGTAAGTTAGGGCACGGACGTGTCACTAGGCACAGCGCTCTTGGCAGAAGTCGCTGAGGCCGAAGCCCTCTGTTACGGAGACATTCCTTCGTCTCGAATCTGGTCTCTGACAGTTTGTAGGAATGTATTCGAGTGTTATGTCGCTGTTCTCAACGTGTTTGCAGATGAAATGATGTCGAATGCCAATATGTTTAGTGCCGGCATGAAAGGTAATAGGAAGGCTAATGTGGGAGCTCAGTCTCCATAAATGAAGAACTGAATTTATTACAGTTAATACTAACCTAACGCGGGAGCTATAATACAGAGTAAGTAATGTAACTAGTAACGATACTGACCTCAGTCTCTGTAAATGAAGAACTGGGGGAAAAAGAAAATAGACCCAAACAATTACCTATATACAATGCAGTCACAGTGTCAAAAACCCGGATTGTAGGGGTAAATGCGTGAGTCCGAATGCAGGCAGGGCTCAACTAGAGGGGGATCCGAGAGCTCCAGTGGTGAACCAAAGTGTCTCCAGGAAGCCTGGTTCTGCTGGATGGTACAAGAGGCTCTAAGAAGGACGTGGCCTCAGCGACTCGGAGGGAGTGCTGTGCCTCTGTTACGTCTCAGTTAGTCCTTGTATTTCTTATGTCTGAGGTATCTTGTAGAACGGGAACGGGATTCACTCAGAGGGACTTTGGGTAGCATTTTAGTCGAGATTAGAACTGAGGAACTACAGGTTCTAACCTACGGGTATTTTATAAAGGGGAATGGAAAGGACTTAGTCAAAGTCCGAATGACAATGGGACAACACTGAAAGGTGCTGAATGATAGAGGTCTGAATGATATCTTTAATGGGGAACCAAGGTGTCGGACCATGGAGGGTGGAGTAAGAGGCCGGAAAATGAATGGGAACGAGAAATGGGTAAGGGGGGGTTAGCCGACTGAATGGTAAGAAGAAGAGAGTCGTGCTAAGAATGGAAGGTGACTAATAAGTGATGACGTGAGTGAGATCACTGAAGGATGTGGGTAACTCCGAAAGCGGAGTTGCATATCCGAAGGATATTGGGTGACTCAAATAAATGAAATGGGTGGAGAAATGGTTTAAGGGTGTGTCACGGGATGTCGGAGGTCCGTCGGGATATCGGAGCAATCCGAAGTCTCCGAGTGTTCTGGCTCAGGAACGAGCTTCCGGGATGGGAGTGGCCAAGGTTTGGTGTGCCGCAACCAGACCGGAGCTGAGACAGTCAGGAGGGAAGGTGACTTGGGGAGTGGGGAGGTGTGGTGTAGGGGATGGTGAAGTTGTTAGGAAGGTGTGATGTGGTGGGAGTGTGCAGGGTTGGGATTCCAGGATATGACAGTATCCCCTTCTTAGGACTGAACCCTTGAAGGACATGTGGCCAGATCCGGCTAAAATACAGAGAAATCCGAGTCTATTTTTCTTGACTCCCACGTTAAAATGCGCCAGAAAGAACAGGTCGCAGCCTCTTTCGCAACCACAACATCATGTCAAACTACAGCCAAGTCTCGGACTGGTCGGACGCTCGTCTGGAGGACGATTCGGGGGACGACGATCGTTTGGCAGTTGTCAAGTTGACGGAGCGTTGTCGTCATCGAGCAGCCGCGAAGGCTGCTGAGGAATGGGAACGGGAGGAGGCTGAGGAGGTCAGAAGGGCCACCGAAGCATTGAAAAAGAGGAGGAAAGAGGAGGCAGTGGCAAGGAAGGTGGGTAGTAACAGTAGTCTGTCATCCGTTTGGTGGAAAAACGCTGACCGATTTTTTTTTTTTTTGATTAGCATAAATCTATTGCAATGTCGACGCTGTCGACCAGTGATTGGCCCCCTGTGTGTGCCAGGTGCCTCAAGTGCCACATCAAGTGCGTGCCAGGCAAGGAGGGGCTGGGCAAGTCGTCGTGTGCGGGTTGTCGTGACGCCAAGGTACGATGCGAACAGGTACCTCAACGCACCGAGGTTGTGTTGACCTATCGCCCCAAGAAGAGAGTGAGGGTGGAGGAGGAGGTGGAGGTGGAGTCGCCGCAGATGGAGGCTATCCGTCAGCAGACAGCTCTGATGAGGGATGGTGTGGGGTGGCTTGCTGCGATCAGCGAGCAGCTCCGGGTCCATAACACCATGATGGGCAGCGCCTTGGCCAGCGGGTCGAGGAGGGGGTCCAGCAACTCAGCTGTCGACAAGGTGGTTATGGGGGATGAGGAGCCTGAAGTGGGTGGGAGGCAGGCTATGGTGCCTGAGAAGGAGGTTGGGGATGAGGAGCCGGAGGTGGATGTCCCAGTGTTCATCCTTCATGTGGGCATGGTACCTAGTTCCTAAGACTAGGAGGGTCTTGGAAGGAAGGATCACAACTCTGATCAACGGGTATCCGATGACTAGGGTTAGGGGAAATCGGAGGGTAGTTGGTTTATTATTTTTTTTATATATATAGGAGGTCCGGAAGTAACCGTCAAGCTCTGTAATATCTCCAGAGGGCTCTCAGGGATCACGGAAAGCGGGGGAAGTAATGGAGGAGAACGAAGATAGCTGAGAAGTCAGTGGCAGGATGGTCGGTATTCCGAAAGGGGTGGTTAAATCGGAATAGTGTATTCCTTTAGGAGAACCAGGAAGTGCTTTTGTGTTTCGGAGCACTACCCAATCAAATCGCTCAATGGAGCAGGAGATTGAGCTAGTGTCCTAGCAACGGGCGGAGTCCAGAAATCTTGAGGGAACGGGTAAGGTATTGATGACGTGTGTTATGGAAATGGGAATTTCCCATTTTAGACTCTTATGGGTTCTGTATCACATGATTTGTATAGTAATTAAGTTTAACCAATCAATAATCAACCAAAAACCCGCTGTGCTAACATCTGTTACACCACATGTCAAACCATCTGTGAAACCACATCAGCAAACTTGGTAGGGAGCTCTCAGAGCTCTGTGAGCAAATTGAGTCTTTTTGCTGTGCACCCTCTACACATTGGGTGGAGAAAATTAAATGTTTGAATGATTTTATTCTCCTAAGGATGCAGAAGTGCAAAGATAATATGTATATACATTTTTGGAAATGCATATTCCATGGCCAGCATCATTACTTGAAACACTCTATGAGCTCTATGAGCTCAGTGAGCTCATAGAGCTCATAGAGCTTTTTGTTTTTAAATCATGGATGGTCTTCATATCTCCATGAAATCTGCTTAGTTATTTTGGCACCAGTAGTGCAAAGATAATATGGATATATATGTGTGTAAAATGGCCATTGTCATTGCTCTGAAAGCTCTATGAGCTCTATGAACTCTATGAACTCACTGGGCTCATAGAGCTCATATACCTTTTGTGTTTACTAAAATCAGCACCTTATTTTTTATTGCTATTTACAAAATTTGAGGAAAACTCTGAAATTCAAAAATTTGCACTTTATCTTTCATCTCATTTCTTGCTCAAAACTCAACCAATTTTGATGATTCTATGTGAATTGGAAAGCACCAAAGTGTGGCAATGTAACCATGCATGTTATGTAGGGTATAAATCAGTTTTAACAAAGTGTTCCAAATGAAGTAAATTGAAAATAAAGCAAACAAAAAGCTGATGTATTCTTCAGATATCATCCAAGCCTTTGACACCAAATTTCCCATGGTCAAAAAGCCATGGTTATTTGGCTCACTGTCAGGGCCCAGCCCTTGTTCTGTGACGGGCCCAGGGGGATCCTCCTAGTCGCTGGGGTATCTAGTCCCAGTCTGAGATCCTCAAACTCACTGAGGGGGCTAAACCTTCTCAACCTCCTCTACAAATGGGAGCCAGGAACTATACAGTTTTCAGCTCTTTGTTGACTCCCCATAAATGGCACCCCCCCGTGGGAACAAGCTGCTCACCCAGAAAGTTCCCACAGTTGTGGCTGTGATGGTTTCTGGGTGAGTAACTTACCCAGAACTTTCCCATGGGTCTGCATGCATGTGGGATTGTGGAATAGTGAGGGGCTGTGCCCTGACACTCACCAAAACATGGTGGGAGACTTTTCTAACACTGAAACATACATTGCTACATTGCCCCACTTTGGCACTTTCCAATGCACATTGAATTATCAAAAAAGTGAATTAATTTTTTTTCCAATTATTCCTAATTTCCTGAAATATCTCTCCCTAACTTATCCCAAAATTTCTGATTTTCCCCCTGATTTTTTGGACATTCTCCTTTTTTAGAAAGTCCCCCATTTTCTGAATTTTCCTTAATTTTCCCTGACTTTTTTTCAAGTTTTTAGAAACCCCCCAGTTCCCCCTCATTTTCCTCCCATTTTCCCCTTCATCCCCCCCCTCAATTTCCCCCCCATCCCCCCCTTCAATTTTCCCCTCATTCCCCCCCCAATTCCCACCTCAATTTCCCCCCCATTTCTCCCCCATTCCCCCTCCAAATTTCCCCTCATTCCCCCCCCCCCATTCCCCCCCCATTCCTTCCCAATTTCCCCCTCATTCCCCCCTCAATTTTCCCCTCAATTCCCTCCTCAATTTTCCCCCCATTCCCCCCCATCCTCCCCTCCAAATTTCCCCTCATTCCCCCCCCTCCATTTCCTCCCCCATTTTCCCCCTCATTCCCCCCTCATTCCCCCCTCCAAATTTCACCCCATTCCCCCCCTCCATTTTCCCCCCACTTCCCCCCTCAATTTCCTCCCTCATTTCCTCCCTCATTCCCCCCAATTCCCTCCTCATTTCCCCCTCCAAATGTCACCCCATTCCCCCCTCCATTTTCCCCTCATTTTCCCCCTCATTTCCCCCCTCATCCCCCCCTCCAAATTTCCCCATTTCCCCCCTCATTTTCCCCCCATTCATCAGCAAAAGTCCGTTATGCTCCGGAGCATCAAGAGTGGCTGGAGCATGTGGGAGACAAAACAGCAGATTGGGCACTCCTGGAGCCAATAGTGTTCTCCTGGGAGGGGGTTCAGGAGCAGCTGGGAGTGGTGAGGAGTATGTAATGTGCCAGGAGCAGTGGGAGGAAAATTTTGGTCTCTAAAAAGTTGAAAAAAAAAATTTAGGGAAAAATCAAAAAAAAAATCAGGAACTATAGTGCCTTTAAAGTGCTTTCAGGACATATAATTATTTGCAAAATTGAGGAAGAAATGATGGAGAAAAATGGAAAATACTTTCGGAGACCCGAGAAATAATGAGAACTGAATTGACAGGAAAGTCTGAAAATTGAATAGGAAAGTGAGGGGAAGCCTTGTAAGCATTGTTATTTTCTGCTGTTCTGATTTTTCCTGATTGTTCTTGGTCTCACTCCCAGCTGCTCCTGGACCCTCCCAGGAGCTTTCAGGAGCTTCCAGGAGTATTGAGGAGCAGCTGGGAATGAGACCAAGAAGAATCGGGAAAAATCAGAACAGCAGAAAATAACAATGCTACAAGGCTTCCCCTCACTTCCCTATTCAATTTTCAGACTTTCCCATCAATTCAGTTCTCATTATTTCTCGGGTCTCCGAAAGTATTTTCCATTTTTCTCCATCATTTCTTCCTCATTTTGCAAATAATTATATATCCTGAAAGCACTTCAAAGGCACTACAGTTCCTGAATTTTTTTGATTTTTTCCCTAATTATTTTTTTCAACTTTTTAGAAGTCCCTATTTTTCAAATTTTCCTCATTTCCCTCTATATCCCCCCCTCATTCTCCCCCATTTCCCCCTCCCCCATATTCTGCCAGCCCAAAAGTGATTAAGTTGCCAGATTAATCATATATCAGGCCATAAATTTTGATTGTGTATTGGTGAGTCTCAGTGTCCTTGATATATAGTATAGTGTTTGATCTAAGTGTTAAGCAGTGTCTTGTTGTGTTAGTCTTGTGGTAGGAGGTATTCATGGGGGATCTTCCCTCTTTTTTTCCTTTTCATTTTCAAATGCTCCAGGAGCTCCCAGAAGCTTCTCACCCCTATACACTTTGAAGCATTTAAATTGTATTTACTGGATATGTTTGTGCACAAAGCAATGCTCCAGGCCCTCCTGGGAGTGCCCTGGAGTACCTAGCCAACTCCGGAGGAAATGGGCTGTTCCTGGACTGGCCAATCTCCTCCTGATTCTCCCAGTGCTCTCGATACTCCGGAGCACTCAGGAGCATAACAATTTTTTGCTGATGCTTTCCCCCTTTAATTTTTCCCTCATTCCCCCTCCCAATTCCCCCCCAATTCCCCCCCTCAATTTTCCCCTCATTTCCCCCCCCATTTCCCCCCATTTCCCCCCCACTCATTTTCCCGCATTTTCCCTAAGTAATTTCAGATTAACTGCATTTATATCCCTAAATTTGGTCTATATATTGATTGGGCTACATACCCTTGGTGTCTGGTGCCGCATTGGTGCTGAAAGTGAAGCTGAGTTTGTTCAGTCCCTTGTATGGTAGGGAGTTGGCTATGGCTAGTCACATGATGCCATAGTCAATGCTTTTAAATTTTAATTTTGATATCGGGTAAATTAAACACTCAGGGAGCTCATATAGATAATAGTCCCCTGTGTGCAAATATAGCTCTATGAGCTCTCAGAGCTTTGACTACTTTTTGGAGCTCTCAGAGAAGGGGACCTGCAATTTCAAAGTACTGAAGCTCTGAGAGCTCTGAGAGCTCTATGAGCTCTATGAGCTCTCAGGCCTCCGCATCCAGGTTTGCTGATGCACCTGTAAACCATTATGTCCAACCCCCTTCCCTATTCCTGCGCCAGAACGGACAAAAATGGGCGCTTCCGGCCCCATTTTTGTAACAACGTGGGCAAGGAATAGGTGTTTCGTAGTCCAGAAGCACTAGGCCCGTATTTTAACGATTACTCAACGGAGCAAGAGGTAAGGACTAGTGTTTTGGAGACTAGAGGCTTTAATTGGAGTTCAGTAACGATAACCATGGTATAGGGTAGGGGTGTTGGCCATCTGGTATGGGTTCCGAAGGCAAACGGGAAATGCGGAGAAGGAAACATAATCTAACGAGGTAGAGTGCTTAGCGTTATGTGAGTTAATGTAGCATTGGAGGTGTTAATGGTAGATCAGATGAAGCGTAGCCGTGGAACACAGTTCTGTAGGTGACTGGGTGAGATCTCGGAGGGTAAACTGGGAAGTTCTTTGCACAGACTTAATATTGCTCAAACCCGGGTCGATCAACGGATCGATAGTTGGGAGAGTCAATGGCGTCCTAGAGTAGAAGAATAAGAACCATTTACTGGTTGACGAAGGGAGTGGTCGTCCTGGGTGATCCATCAATAGCTAGGTGGGAGTGGAGGTTTCCATGTTGGAACGAGTGAATAGTGAGACCGACAGGGTTGTTTTTGGTAGGGCTGGCGCAAGGTTGGTCCCTGAGGTTCTAGGATTCCCAATTAGAAGA